AAGGGGAACCGGTTTAAAAATAAAAGCGGGTGGGGGGGTGCAGGGGGGAGGGCGCAGCGCCTCCCCCCGCAATGCGTACCAAGAGAGAAGCACATAGGCACAAGTCTCAATGGATATATTGCAAGTAAGAACGACAAGATCAAGAAAGAAGCACATAGGCACAAGTCTCGATGGATATCAGCAAAGATGAAATTAACCCAAATAAACGATGATGCTTATGCAAAAAGAAAGGAATAGTAGGTAGCAAGGGGAACCGGTTTAAAAATAAAAGCGGGTGGGGGGGTGCAGGGGGGAGGGCGCAGCGCCTCCCCCCGCAATGCGTACCAAGAGAGAAGCACATAGGCACAAGTCTCAATGGATATATTGCAAGTAAGAACGAGAAGATCAGAAAGAAGCACATAGGCACAAGGTCTCGATGGATATCAACAAAGATGAAATTAACCCAAATAAACGATGATGCTTATGCAAAAAGAAAGGAATAGTAGGTAGCAAGGGGAACCGGTTTAAAAATAAAAGCGGGTGGGGGGGTGCAGGGGGGAGGGCGCAGCGCCTCCCCCCGCAATGCGTACCAAGAGAGAAGCACATAGGCACAAGTCTCAATGGATATATTGCAAGTAAGAACGAGAAGATCAGGAAAGAAGCACATAGGCAGAGGTCTCGATGGATATCAACAAAGATGAAAATAACCCAAATAATCGATGATGCTTATGTAAAAAGAAAGGAATAGTAGGTAGTAAGGGGAACCGGTTTAAAAATAAAAGCGGGTGGGGGGGTGCAGGGGGGAGGGCGCAGCGCCTCCCCCCGCAATGCGTACCAAGAGAGAAGCACATAGGCACAAGTCTCAATGGATATATTGCAAGTAAGAACGAGAAGATCAAGAAAGAAGCACATAGGCACAAGTCTCGATGGATATTTTGAAAGAAGAAGAAAGAGAAAATGAACCCTAAGAAACGATGCTTATGAGCAAAAGGCAAGAGAGTAGGTAGGAAGGGAAGCTGATGAAAAAACAAAAGCGGGTGGGGGGGTCCCCTGCAATGCGTACCAAGAAAGAACATGAAAGAAGTACATAGGCACAAGTCGCGATGGAGATCAATGAAGATGAAATGAACGCAAATAACCGATGATAAGGGTTGACTGCACACATGGTCCTTCCTTCCTTCCTTCTTTCCTTCCTTCCTTCCTTCCTTCCCTTCGTTCCCCCCTTGCATCCTTCCCTCCTTCCCTCCTTCCCTCCTTTCCTCCTTCCCTCCTTTCCAACTTCCCTCCTTTCCTCCTTCCCTCCTTTCCTCCTTCCCTCCTTCCTTCCTTCCTTCCCTCCTTCCCTCCTTCCTTCCTTCCCTCCTTTCCTCCTTTCCTCCTTCCCTCCTTATTTCCTTTCTTCCTTCCTTCCTTCCTTCCTTCCTGCCCGCCTGCCTGCCTGCCTTCCTTCCTTCCTTCCCTCCTTTTCTCCTTTCCTCCTTCCCTCCTTCCCTCCTTTCCTCCTTCCCTCCTTTCCTCCTTCCCTCCTTCCTTCCTTCCTTCCCTCCTTCCCTCCTTCCTTCCTTCCCTCCTTTCCTCCTTCCCTCCTTTCCTCCTTCCCCCCTTTCTTCATGATCATTTATTTTTTTTGATGCATTTATAGTTTTTTTGATGCATCTTTATTTTTTTGATGCATTTTTATTTTTTTTGATGCTTCTCCCGATCGTTCCCAAAGAGGACCAAAACCCCTTTTCACCACGCCATTTGGTGGAAGATACCACTGTGACCGTGAATGTCATGGTCTTAGACATGCCAAGGAAGTTTGTCTGACGCGACGATGTCACAGATGTGGCCCACAGTCAGACGTTCCCCAACATAGGCTGTATGCGATCTCACATGGATATGCACTTCATGTTGATTATGAGCATTGTCGTGATGCCGGATCCAATGGTCCACTTCGGGCCTTCAATCCATGTGCGATTTGCTGCACTGCAGATGATAGACTTGTTATGACTTGTTTAGAGGGCTTGAGCTGAATATGTGGTCAGTGGAACTGATCACATAGGGGGAGTGCGTGTAAGAATTCCATGCATCCCTATTTACCCAATTCTCAAATGGAAATACTTCCACTTTTGCTTTGACTTCAACCCACCGGGTGTTGTCCAGACTTCAACTCACCGGGTGTTGTCTAGGAATCCTAAAGAACCTGCATCTGGGCCGGACCGAAGCCTTTTAGATGTCAAGCGGCACAAAGGTGCGTCAGCTAGCAGCGAGGTGGCTGCTTGGAGTTTTGGGGAAACTTGGTTTTGTTTTTTGGGTTGAAACATTTCTTTTTTCCGGCTGGGGTCGGGATCTCAGTTGCTGTTCAGGGTTCCAGGACGGTTCACTTGTTGGCATTGGGAGGCTTCAGGAAACACAGAAACCATGGAAACCGTGCAAACTATGAAAACCGTACAGAAATCTTGGACAACAGGGAAACCATGGAAACCGCAGACAAATCATGGAAACCATGGAAACCGCAGACAAATCATGGAAACCATGGAAACCATGGAAACCGCAGACAAATCATGGAAACCATGGAAAACCATGGAAACCGCCAAGAAATCATGGAAACCATGGAAACCGCACAGACATCATGGAAACCATGGAAACCATGGAAACCGCAAGAAGAAATCATGAAAACCATGGAAACCGCAGACAAATCATGGAAACCATGGAAACCGCAAAGAAATCATGGAAACCATGGAAACCGCAAAGAGATCATGGAAACCACAAAAACCATGGAAACCGCAAAGAAAGTATGGAAACCATGGAAACCATGGAAACCACACAGATATCATGGAAACCATGGCACAGAGTGTGTCGCGTTTCAAAATGAGTAATAAAGTCGCGTTTCAAATTGAGTATTATCCCGCGTTCTAAAACGAAACCTTCCCTTGGGCAACAGGGGTTTCCGGGGAACTATCCTTTACAGAATCAAGGTCATTCCCTTTTACCATCTCTCACAATCAAGATCTGAAGATATGACATTGAGGGGCATGCTTTACTAGAAAATCAAAAGACCTTAGGGTGTCGCCAGCATTATGTCTACGAAATCAGTTCCTTGACCAAAATGTAAGGTTTTGTGCACTTTCTGCTCAACGTTGGGACCCCCCATTTACAGAATCATGGGCCTACCAAGATACAATCCAAACATGTCCAAAATGGATGGTTTTTGGGTGCTTGCCAGCCCATGGTCTTTGATTTTGTAGCAAAGTAGGGGTGCAGGATGGCTCTACAGAATCGAAGGTTTTTGGGGTGTCAACACCCCTGATAGCTGAATGAAGGAAATCACGGCGAGACCGTGCAAATCAACACCCATGGCAGGCTATCCCAATATGAAACCAAATGACCCCACTACAGAATCAAGGTCGTTCCCTCTAAATATCTCTCACCACTACAGAATCAAGATCTGATAGATCTAAAGAAAAATGGTCTTATGGAAATGATATTACTACAGAATCAAGAACCTGCATTCTACATCTGACATCTCTCTACAAAATCAAAAACCCATACATGATGGGGCAACAGGTGTTTCAGGGGACCCATCCTGTACAGAATCAAGGTCATTCCCTCTCACCATCCCTCACCACTACAGAATCAAGATCTGAAGGTATGACATTGATGAGCATGCTCTGACTACAAAATCAAAGACCTTAGGACATCACCAGCCTTATTTCTCCAAAATCAGTTCCTTACCCAAAATGTAAGGTTTTGTGCGCTCCCAGCTGAGTGTTGGGGCCCCTGTCTTTACATGTCTACAGAATCAGGGACCTACCAAGATACAGTCCAAAAATGATCAAAATTGGTGGTTCTTGGGTGGTTGCCAGCCCATGGTCCTTGATTTTGTAGCACGGTAGGGTTTCAGACTGGCTCTCCAGAATCGAAGGTTTTTGGGGTCCCAACACCCTCGATTCTGTAGAGGAAATTGCAACCAGGATTATATTATGCATTAATACCAGTATATACAGCTTGGTTATAAAATGTACATTTTACATCCCAACAGAGCTTCCATTTGGGTCTAGGATCCCTCCTGAAATCCCCACCAAATCACCACACCTCGCCCGTGGAGAGCGCAAAGAGCGGTCGATGTCGGAGCTGCCAAAGGCCAAAGAAGTGCAAGAGTCTGGCAGCTTTCCCTGCAGGGAATCTTCCCTGTAGAATGACCCATTTAAATAAACAGAAAGTGGTAAATAACACTAGTTCAATGGCGTTCTATACTTTTCTATCTGTTTGGGGTTTTGCTATAAATGGTGATAAAATATGAGAATGTGTGATGAATGGGACATCCTCGGCAAAACTTATTTGCTATCACTGATTTGATATGTGCGTTTTTCCCATTGGGGATCATCATCCAACATCAAATGGAAATGCAAAAACACAATTGTATTATTAAACATAGTAGTTGAAACTCACCTATAATAGCCTATAAATGGAGGTTATAGTTTGGAAAATCAACCACAAATGTGGTCGATTTCCGACACGTTGAAACCGCCAGTGTTGCATCTTGCATCCACCTGAAGATGAGGCAGTTTCCAGTTTTTCCAGCAATGGGTGTGATGCATCAGCATCATAAGGCACTGGTAGAGGTGAGACTCGCGTACGTGGTGGTCGGAAACCTGGGATGTTGAAATATGGGTAACTCTTTAATTGGGAAACCTAAGGGACATCATGAAGGTTTCACTAAGAAAATAATTTCATCAAAACTGGAAGAGTGGAAAAAAAAGGCCTCCAATTCTGGTTCGCAGCACCCGTATTTGCTGGTTGAAACATGTTGGAACTGTAAGATTTTGAGCCATGCTACCACTGGTTGCAGGGTCATAGTCGGGATCATCTGGATGAAGCTCTGGAAAAAGAAACGATGAGACCTGAGAGCCGTGCATCTGTTCATCGTCAAACTGTCAAACTACTTCTAAGGGATTACAAAGTTAGCTAGATATGGTAGAGAAAAGTCTTTGACTTGGTCAACAAACAAAATTGAAAAACATATATTATATAGATACATGAATGTATGTATATATATATACATCTCAAAGTGACAACTGACTTTGTAGCACTCCTCGCCCTGCACTCTTTTTCACCTTCTGCCTAACAGTCAGTCTGTTCATCTGCTATCCTCAGGTTTGCCTTGGGTCGGTCACAGTGTGACATGCGCATAGCCCCAGACCAGTGTCCACTCCTGGTCAGAACTGCCTGGTCACCCCAGGCTGGAACTTGCTTTTGCAGGCATCACTACTACACCCAAGGCACTAGAGGAATTCAAATGTGAGGATGACTGCAACCAAAGGCAGATGGAAAAAGATGGTAGGGAGGTACGACGAATAAAAGCTAAATCCATGGCAGCGCCACCATGGGTCATCAAAACCTAACCTACTGATATCGTCAGCCCAGTTGCTCTTGCTTTGGACGTTTACTTTGGACGTATTCCCAGTAACCCTGGGCGCGCAAGGCAAACAGGGCTAGATGAATCAGGTGACCGAGCTTTGCCAGGTCGAGATTGCTGGAACGCCATCTCACTAGGGCCATCACTGCTGCCACGCTGTCAAGAAACCAAAGACCTTGACGAGTGCGAAAAAGGTCAGGTCTCTCAATGAGGGCATACAGTACCATCGAAAGTTCGAGCTGCACCATGTGGGTCTTCGCCGGTTGCCAGAGGGCTTGAAGTTCAGCACAATTGGTAGCAACAGAACTGAGACGAATCTGTGACCCGCCAGGTTGGTAAAAGATAAGGTGGAAACCACCTGGGCCAGGGCCGCCAGCTTCGACAGCAGCATCAGATGCTGCCAAAAGTCGAGTCTGCTGCAACGGGAAAACTGCAAATTCACGTTTAGGCTCAAGGCGCATAACTGCTACGATCACCTCGAAACATGCTTCAATCTCTGGTGTCAAAGCCAACTTGCCAGTTGCTCGGGCGTTGTAGATGATCTCTTTGACCTTTTCATGGAGCCTAGCTCGAGCCCAAAATTTGACAGGTTGTGGGTGAGGCCCAGGAACGTCCCTGAGTCAAGTGAAATTCGAGTGTGTTGGCACGCTTCCCAATTCGCCAATTCCACCAATCTGGAAAATCGGTTGAAGGAAGTCACCGCAAGGGGTAATCCAAACAGCAGGCCCGAGTAGCTTTTGCCACTCGCCATGAAACCAAACCACCACAGGTGAGCTGCGCAACGCTGACAGTCTCTCTTGCAGCAGGGCATTTTGACCAAGGGGGGAACAGTTCCGACTCACTGGTGGTGGGAATGACAAATGGAGAATGCCTGATCTCGACTGCGTGCACCCAACACGTGTATGCAGCCAGGTCATGGCTCTCCCTTGCCAGCCTCTCCACATGCTGCTTGAACTCCAAGAAGGCTGCTGCATGGAGGATATTCCCCTCCCAAGACCTAGAAAGAAAGCAATGAATGCTATTTTGCTTCAACTCCCCTTGAGCCAAAATGATAGCATTCATTGGCTCACTTAAAGATGACACATGCACACCCAAAGCCTGCCAAGCTCAATGCATGAATGAATATATATACAGTACATATATATATTTAGTATATATCAAACGATCTTTTCTTTGGCAAGTTCTGGCAGGGCATGTTGCACTATTTGTCTTTGACATGTTTCGCTAGACATCTTCGTTGTGGCTGAGGGCCGCTCTGTCGCTCGAAGATGGCGAGTCTCATAGCGGCTTTCTAGGAAATCGCGACGCTCGTCCTTCACAAAGCACAGGAGACACCGTGCTTTTGATGACTTGGAATCGTGCCTATAGGGTTGAATGTGAATATATGTGAATATCACCAGTGATTAACTCATCCATGGTATGTGATGCCATGTTTAGAATTGTCGCTTGCAAGGTGTGATAGAGTGTGTGATCTTTCAATGAGTCGAGATGCCCTCCCTATTCTCCCGGATTTTTGTGGATACCTGCCTGCAAAACATGCCGCTGAAGATCAAAAGAAACATAAGCTGTCGAGGCACCATGTGCTTTTTCCTCGGTTGATGTGCTCCGAACATGCTCCGAACATGCTCCAATATCTCCAATCCAAAAGTTTCCCTCAGCACACTCCGAAAGTGCAGTCTCCACTGTATCCACCGATGATTTTCTGCCAAGGCTCCCAACGCTCCAGCAAGGTACGTGCTATGGTACTCTTTCCAGAGCCATTGGGGCCCAGAATGGCCCAACGTTCACCCGCCTGAAGTTTGAAGTCCAAATCCTTCACCAACGTTCTGGGTGGAGGGCCGTCAACCTCCTGGGATGCATCTGAAGCCATTCATAATCATTCTAGAATATACCTTGGTGTTAGTATGTATAATGTTAGTGGGTACCTGGTGGTTTTTGACCCTTGAAAATGATAGTTTCAATGAGTTTCATACACTTTCACATCCATTCACGGTCTTCCAATGTCTTCCATGTCACGTCGAGTAGCAATGGGCTGCTTCAGCTGCAACGTGAGCTGGGACCCCGAGTGGAATCGACCACCAGGGGCCCATCTCGACAAAGCGGAGATCGGTCTCTGGCACCTGACAATGCTGGGGACATGATAGGAACCAGTTACTGGGGAATATATTGACCAATGATATCCATGAGGTGTTCAATTATTATTACATATTATTACTGAGTACTGTATATCATTCTAGAAACATACATACATGGATATATATATATGTATACATCCAACAATCAACGGGATCATATTCCCAAACAAGAGGGGAAAATGGAAAAGAGCTGCAACCACCAGTACCAAGTTTGCCTGGCCGTATGACGAATCATGCTGGCGATGCAGCACAGAGTCCAATCCAAGCGAGGGAAAAGTCTGCAACGAAGCTTGAAAAGGTTGGATGATCATGATTGAGGTTGTGGTTCAATTCTTTCATGTCAGTTTTGAGATGTATCTGATGATAGGCGGTCTGGATTGCAAAAGAATAGCAGTGGCAGCCGCAGCCCTGTTTGCTTTTGAGCTTTGCAGCTAAAAATGGCAAAAAGCAAACAACGGATGCTTACCAGGCTTTCTTGGCCTTGCTTTGGATGTGTGCTTTTTCATCTCGGTGTTTTGGAAGGATGCTAGTCTTCATGGTACAGCTTTGTTATTCATCTCTGAAAAGCCAATGGCTGCTGCGCAGCGGAGCAGCAACGGATGTATGGGATCATGTTCAACTGTAAGCCTAAGTCTGACTGACCAAACGGAACGCTGTGTCATCCATTAGGGGATTCAAGTGGTGAACTGGTTGGTGGTGAACTAGTTACTAGTTGAGTAAGTAGCAAAATGACCAACACCTGCGGGTGGTCCTCCAATTTGGTCATGAATCCCAATTTACTGCCATCAAAATCATCAAATAATCAGGAAAATATTGCAAATGATGGAGAAAATGACTTCAAACCACTGGATTTGGGTGGTTTTCCATGGTTGTCCTGTAAAAAAATTGGGAATTTTAATGATGAATTGCTGGATCTGCTGGGTTTTCCCATGATTTTCGCTGAGTGCCCCAACAACTTCCACCACCAGGTGTCACAGCTGCGCTGGCAGTGCCCCCCGGGTTTCCGCGGTTGAAGCCTGGCGCCGATTTTTCTGGGGATCTTCATGGGTAAAATCCCAGGAAACTATAGATGATTAGTTGACTATTATGGGTTAATCCTAGGAATTACCATCAAAATGGGTAAATCGTACTGGGTAAAATCCCATGATATTAGTAAGAGTGCCCATCGATAGACTATATAGATGATTTACCTATGAACCACGGTGACTTTCCATAGCTACCTTTGGTTTCGAGGGGAACTCATGAATTCTTAGCTTCATTTCCCAAAGTCGGATCGATCAATTACGGACATCCTAGTCAATGGCATTTCAAAGTCCAATGAAATCGCCATTCACACCAACCTGCGAAGGAAGTCAAAGACTGGCGACATCAACCATATGGGTGTCTGAAAATGGAGCAATCCCCAAAAATGACGCAAATTTAACGCGGAAAATGATGATGAAACACTGCACAAAGCCATCTGATCAGCTTTGGCAGGAGGAAGGAATTCTGGGAGGCCGGCTAGACGTGGCTGCTCCAGGTTCAGGTAGACTGGGCCGGAAGGCTGTACCAGCCTCCAGTAGCCAAATAGTAGGACAACCCCGCCTCCGAGATCTTGCTTATCAGCTCTGATTTAGGGTCTTCAGTCTACACATTTGTTTCACTCTGTATGTAACCTCCAAAAAAAGATAGACCAGTCATCTACCAGAAATTCACGTTTACTTTTCTATCTGTTCTATCTTTTGGGGGGATCCAAATTTACATACAATTGACTGTCTCAAGGATTGCAGAACCTCAGGCGCTAAAAGCTTGACCGCAATCTGCTGGATTCTGCTGGCCTCCATTTCCAAGGGGCCTCCTGCAGTGTCAGCAGTGTCTGATCACTCATCCAGCCATACTCAGAGAACCCCTCAAAAGATTCTAGTAAAACCCCCAACACTCCTCCCAAATATCATTACAGAAGCACGATTATAGCAGTAACTCCCCCCAAGTAATCAGCTCCATGGCTGGAAAATCCTCCATTCATAGATGATTTTCATTGATTTTCCCAGCTATAGACCTCCATTGAGAAGGGATTTTCCACTGCTCTCCTGGAAGTGGTGCATAGGCATCCTTGAGCCGCTCATGGAAGTCGCGCCGAGGCTCTCGGTACCTGACATTGCTCTCGGGTGTGCCCAAGGCTGCAATGGTGATGTTCATGGGTCAAAATTGTTTTTTTACTGACATTTGGATGGTCAAAACTATGTATGTATGTATGTGTGTGTGTATGTGTAAACATAATTGAATAGATATATGTATGTATTATATATATATTATATATATTATATATTATATATATATATTATATATATAAATAAATGCAGTGCATGTAATTACCCAAAAAAATGAATTGTTTGAAATTGTTTGAGAGTTTAAAGCTACAAAATATGACCAATGTTGGGGAAAATGGTATCCCAACTCTAAGCCACACCCTGGTGATCATCCACGAATTCTCCGCTCTCCAATGACCCGCCTTTGACTCTGAGCCGTGCTGGACCGAGGCGTCACAGGTAGACTCCTGTGGCCAGGCATGTCGTGCACTGTTTCGAAATACATTGATCTGGGATGATCTGGGTCGAAGCCTGAACATCTGACAAAATTAGGTGATGGTGGTGATGGTGGTGATGGTGGTGATGGTGGTGGTGGTGGTAGTGGTCGTGGTGGTGATGGAGGAGGGCGGTCCGGTGCTGACGGTAACGTGACGGTGATGGTGACGGTGATGGCGATGAAGAAGAAGAAGAACCAGAAGAACCAGAAGAAGACAACGACGACGATGACGAGGAGGAGGAGGAGCCTCAACCTCGTCAACCTTCTCAACTACATGTCGGCATGATGTTTGGATGTTCAGGAACCATCAGTGACCTAGTTCAACGGGGGCATGCCCATGGCCGTCCTGGGTCGCCTTGAGCTGCAAGGTGAAGGAGTCCGGGACCTGCGAAGTGGGTATCAACTCGTACCCCGCTGGGACTCCTACTGTCCGTACAGTGGATGTCCCAGGATAGGAAATATCGGAAAACATGAAACCCATTGAAACCCCATAGCTATGCCATAGCAAATCTTACTCCTGGTAGTTCAAGTCGTTTGCAAAGCTTTCATACAGCACAGGCCTTGCTGGACCCTGGATCTCACCCGCACCTAGCCAGGGGTGCAGTTCGAATGGAGCTCCTCGGAGAGAACCTGACACCAAGCGAGTGCTACACAAAGTGGAAGCAGATGGAAGCAATCAAAATCCAAAATCATCAAAACCACTGTGTTTGCTGCGGCAAATCAAACCATGGATGTTGGGACGCGCCACACGAAGAATCTGAGACCATCTACAGTGAAAGACTAGACCGTTTCATCGATGCTGAATGTCGTGTCAGCACATGCCTTAGGGAATCCCCAATGTCTCGAAAGTTAGGTTCCAGCTTCAGCGTGTTATCCTGCGCATGCGATGCGACATGAGAGTCGTGCAAAGTATTGGAAAGTTGGAATGAAACTGGCTCATCTGCAACCTCCGTCAAAACTCACTCACGTCTGGGTATGGTTCAAAACTGAGCTTCCAACCCTGCAAGTTTGGTCATGTTCAATGTTGAACTTTCCGTTTTGGGAGGTTTAAACCATACTCAAGTATGGTATTATGCACACCCAAAAAATATTGTGGTTTTACATGTTTTTGTATGTTTTTGTGCGTTATTTAACCATCACTTTGGATGGTTTATGCAGTTTATATATGCCCATCTGAAACAACCATGGCATGACTGCCCGCTTTTCCACGCAATCGATGGTGCGAGGTCAGGCGCAGAAGTCAGAGCCACCGCGCACGAAAGCGCCAAGAACGGGACCGTAGCTGCCTCCAAACATCAACGATGTCGGCTGATATCACGGTCAGCGATGTTTCTTTGTGTCTGTTTCTGTGTGTGTGTGGGGCCAAAAATGTCAAAAATTGTGGGAATGTTTAAGAATGTGTTGGATTGTTTCGGAATGTCTCAAGATGTTCCAAGCACATCATGCACATCTGTGTCTCAACGAAGCGTGCCGGGGAAGTTGAGAGGTCCCCGTTTCTTGTGGACAAAAAATGGGCAATCTCTGGAGGATGATCTGCTGAATCCGCAGCTTTTTTACTCTTTTTAGAGCAGTCCGCAACATCACAAGGACCGAGATATTTTGAGGCATTAACCCACGGACCCTCTTTTAGGGCAAGATGCCGACATCTGCTGAATCAAAAGCTTGTCAGCAAGTGTGTAGCGCTGGAACATCTCTTGTGGATTCTGGTGTTTTTTTTCAATAGAAAGCAGTATGCCAGAGGAGATCTCACCTCACATTTTGCACAAATGTGGTCCGCCTAGCCTGCTACCATGCAATGAATATCATTTATCTCGTGTGGAACGCCTGCAATGCCTAGGATTTAAGGCTTGCAGCCACGGTGACACGACGGCTCTCCGAAGACCCGAGGTTTGGTGGCCTCTCAGTAGCATTCCAAAGGCGCCCAATTCCTGGGTGGTTTTCAAAGACGGTCACATGCATAGTGACTACTATGGCATAGTGGGTTGAAACATGTTGAAACATGTTGAAACTGTGGTACCCCCTGGTGAACAGAAAAATATACAAAAATATCAAACTAGCATAGCTGGATGTTCATCCCCCCAGATGTAGTATTATGATGTATTATGATAGATTCTCATCATTTCTCATCCATCTCCACGTTGAGAGCTGGGAGCAAAAGGCCCCGAAGTCCCTAAGTGATCTAAGTGCATTCTAGTCTCAGCTGGCGATCATGACCTGACACTCTTGACAGGATGGGCGTGGGTAAGAACAAACAAGGTAACTCTGGTGAACATGCTGAAAATCGTCATCAGCATAGAACTAGAATGTTGAGTCATGTTGAGTCAATATACTGTAATTGTCTGTAACTTTGCTGCCAATGGGTGTTTGGTAGCTTTGATCCACAGTCAGATTATGTCAGATTGTGCCAACTGAAAAGAAAC